ATATAAACAATACACGTGTACAATATAAACAATACACGTGAACAGTATAAACAATAAACGTGTGCAGTATAAACAATACACGGGTAGAGTATAAACAATACACCTGTACAGTATCAACAATACATGTGTACAGTATAAATAATACACGTGTACAGTATGAACAATAAATGTGTACAGTATTAACAATACATGTGTACAGTATAAACACCACACGTGTACAGTATAAACAATATACGTGTACAGTATAAACAATATACGTGTACAGTATAAACAATACCCGTGTACAGTATAAACAATACCCGTGTACAGTATAAACAATACACGTGTACAGTATAAACAATACATGTGTAGAGTATAAACAATGCATATGTAGAGTATAAACAATACACGTGTACAGTATAAACAATACCGACATACAGTATAAACAATACACGTGTACAGTATAAACAATACACGTGTACACTATAAACAATACACGTGTACAGTATAAACAATACATGTGTACAGTATAAACAAAACACGTGTCATGTGTACAGTATAAATAATACATATATACAGTATAAACAATACACGTGTACAGTATAAACAATACACGTGTACAGTATAAACAATACATGTGTACAGTATAAACAATACACGTGTACAGTATAAACAATACATGTGTACAGTATAAACAATACACGTGTACAGTATAAACAATACATGTGTACAGTATAAACAATACACGTGTACAGTATAAACAATACATGTGTACAGTATAAACAATACACGTGTACAGTATAAACAATACATGTGTACAGTATAAACAATACACGTGTACAGTATAAACAATACATATGTACAGTATAAACAATACACGTGTACAGTAAAAACAATACACGTGTACAGTATAAACGATACACGGGTAAAGTATAAACAATGCATATATACAGTATAAACGATAAACGTGTACAGTATAAACAAAACATTTATACAGTATAAACAATACATGTGTACAGTATAAATAATACATGTGTACAGTATAAACAATACACGTGTACAGAATAAACAATACATGTGTACAGTATAAACAATACACGGGCACAATATAAACAATACATGTGTACAGTATAAACAATACACGTGTACAGTATAAAGAATACACGTGTACAGTATAAACAATACATATATACAGTAAAAACAATACATGTGTACAGTATAAACAATACATATATACAGTATAAACAATACACGTGTACAGTATAAACAATACACATGTACAGTATAAACAATACATGTGTACAGTATAAACAATACATGTGTACCTTTTATATCATAAGCCTGTTTACAACATATCATATTTCCGTATGCTATACTTTGACACTTCACAACGCACATATAAGCAATTAAACTAAAACATTCAGCGTAATTAATGCCCCAGCGTACCACTGTTATGCCTATTATCTTGTATAAAATATAGCATCATTTTTGTTAATATAGAAAACATGTATTTATGAATTATCTATATCCGCTTAGAAAGAGATAACAGTAAGCTCAGTAGTTTAATATATGGTTGGTAGTGAGACCGGAAAAATACGTTGAACAATATTCAATAGAATTCCTCAAACGAGCCATATATGGTCCATTCGAAACATATACCGTATCATATATATGCAAGACCACACTCTTATGTTTTTCTAACGCATCAGAAAGCACGAGTTTATTGCGTGGACGAATATATTCACGGGTGGGCGGAGCCCATCGAGTGAATATATACGTCTGTTAGAAAAACACAAGTATGTGGTCTTGCTTTTATCACATACCTTCAGTATTTGGTAGAGATTGATACAAAGATTTTATAAACTTTGATATTTTTTGCAAATACCGGGAACTTTTCAGTTCGCCAAGACAAGAGGATTCCCATAAAAAGTAGTTCCGGCTAGTAGGTAAATACAACATTCCGTATTGCACATGTGCAATACAGAACGTTGTATTTCATGGTCTGAAAATTGCTTGTGTTACTATAACAAGATTTAACAGGTATGTGATAAAAAGTAATAATAAACAACATGAAAACACTGTTAAATAGCAATTAGCCTCTCTAAATATTTACATTTTCAGTCAACCTAGATTCATTCAATCTTGTATTTCTCGCCGCCTTGAAATAACTTCAATAAATGAATGGATTTTGTTGATTGCATGGTCCAATGAAGGAAAGTGATCCTTGATCGAAGTTTTGATATCAACTGGTTCGCAGTTTAAGTAATTTTCACAGGGTTGGCTACTTGGTTCGCTGCTGATTTAATTTGTACAAGGTAAAGTTGGTTTGTAGCTCACTTAGTTTGCGAGAAACTCTCTTCAATTCATCAGGCTATGTAAACACAGTTCACTCGTTAAATCAGAGATGTGTAGTAAAGGTGTAGGTACAACAGCATACACAGTAAAACTGAACCGAATAATCCGCTCTACTGTTAAAGTCTATTACACAGACAAGGCACCAAACTGCTATAGTATAGCAATGGCATAAACAAGCTATTTCATATCTTTCATTTCCTATCAGAAACAAAACGAGTCTAGACATTTTCCTGTCACCAAGCATGTATCGAGTTAAAATTGAAACCTTTGTAACATAAATGTCAAATGGAATATAGACCAGTTGTTTATTACAGACAGCAAACCTCTAAAAGGACGAAACCGCTGTACGGTGCTGCGTAATTCATCATCATTCAAGATACAAGGTGGTAGACTCGGCAGATGGATTTCTGAGTCCTCAAGATTTGCCGTGACCTTGACCTTTGTTTTATTATTGTCACGGTTCATAGTGTACACATTTCACACATTCTTTTATCAGCTGATATTCATAAAATTTGGTGTTTATGCACTTTTCCTTCCGTTTCAATATCAGTTTACACTAATTTGAATTTCAGTTTTTTTTCGACCCTACATCACCGATGAATCCTAGAAGGACGAAACACGTGTATGATGCAGTGTATTTATTTAGCATACATGTACTGTATTTATTACCAAATTTTATGTATATACACGTGTATGTGTCTTCAGGGTGAACAAGGTTCATCTTGCTGTTAAAGTCCAATTCCGACGTCATTGATATCATTTGAGTCCAGGCTGAGCTTTGTTGGGGTACTGTATTGCCTTGATTATCAATGACCTGCCACTGATTTATATCACATCTCAAGGTTCACCAATGTAAAATAAATCAAACAAGATCTCCTTTTCAAATTATGACATCAACAGAATGAGAGATTGTGGATTAAGATTAAGGACTGTGATCGGTTGAGTTCTCCGTTCGCAGTATCAAATCGGGACCGGTTGTAATATACAATCCTCTAACATATCAATATTTACAAATGAACAGCAATATGTATCACAAAAAACACATCAACTTAGCATAAATGATGAAATTAAGTGCTCAATACAATAGAATTATTCAATAATCGTTCGCTTCTGATGCCCACACTATTACAATGAAACAGAAAGCAAAACATGTCTATAGCTCGTGGCCGAGATATCCTAGCGGTATAAACTTGTTCATCACAATATGTCTGTAGCTCGTGGACGAGAAATTCTAGCGATATAAACTTGTTCATCACAACATGTCTATAGCTCGTGGCCGAGACCTCCTAGCGGTATAAACTTGTTCATCACAACATGTCTGTAGCTCTTGGCCGAGACCTCCTAGCGGTCTAAACTTGTTCATCACAACATGTCTGTAGCTCGTGGCCGAGAAATTCTAACGGTATACACTTGTTCATCACAACATGTCTGTAGCTCTTGGCCGAGACCTCCTAGCGGTCTAAACTTGTTCATCACAACATGTCTGTAGCTCGTGGACGAGAAATTCTAACGGTATACACTTGTTCATCACAACATGTCTGTAGCTCTTGGCCGAGACCTCCTAGCGGTATAAACTTGTTCATCACAACATGTCTGTAGCTCCGGGCCGAGAAATTCTAGCGGTATACACTTGTTCATCACAGCATGTCTGTAGCTCCGGGCCGAATTATCCTAGCGGTATACACTTGTTCATCACAACATGTCTATAGCTCGGGGCAGTGAAATTCTAGCGGTATACACTTGTTCATCACATCATGTCTGTAGCTCCGGGCCGAGAAATTCTAGCGGTATACACTTGTTCATCACA